CCTGGGTTCAGGCAATTCTCCTGCCTCAGCCTCCTGAGTAGCTGGGATTACAGGCACGCGCCACCATGCCCAGCTAATTTTTTGTATTTTTAGTAGAGACGGGGTTTCACCATGTTGACCAGGATGGTCTCGATCTCTTGACCTCGTGATCCACCCACCTCGGCCTCCCAAAGTGCTGGGATTACAGGCTTGAGCCACCGCAGCCGGCCTTCAGATTTTTATAATAAATAAAACTAAAGACAGTTTGAACACATCTACCTGGGGAGCTTAGCATATTAAGAATAATTATCTGGCCAGGCATGATGGCTCATGCCTGTATTCCCAGCACTTTGGGAGGCTGAGGTGGGTGGATCATGAGGTCAAGAGTTTGGGACCAGCCTGGCCAACATAGTGAAACCCCGTCTCTACTAAAAATACAAAAATTAGCTGGGCTTGCTGGCACGTGCATGTAATCCCAACTACTCGGGAGGCTGAGGCAGGAGAATCGCTTGAACCTGGGAGACGGAGGTTGCAGTGAGCCAAGATGGTGCCACTGCAGTCTGGCCTGGTGACAGGGCAGGACTCTGTCTCAAAAAAAAAAAAAAAAAAAAAAAAGAATAAGTATCTAAGCAAAACACCTTACCCACTTTACCACAATCCTTACCATGACTTGACGCACAAGCTTAATGGTTTCACTCCAAGGCCTATTTTGGTTAAATTTTGCATGGAGCCGTTCCAAAAGAGAACTCATCTTACTCAGCTTTTCCGAGTCTACGATTTAAATCAGAAAACATCATATTAGTAACTGTTCTGTCAAGACCATCCAGTTTTTCTTGCAAAATAAATTCCCACATTTCATCTCAGTAAGAATTCAGTTAAAACGTTTTCCAAATCATTTTACTGCAAAACATCCACAGAAGACTTTTTTTTTTTGGAGACAGAGTCTCACTCTGTCCAGGCTGGAGAAGTGCAGTGGCGCAATCTCGGCTCACTACAACCTCTGCCTCCCGGGCCCAGGCAATTCTCCTGCCTCAGCCTCCCAAGTAGCTGGGACTACAGGAGCACACCAACATGCCCAGTGTAGAGACAGGGTTTCATCAGGTTGCCCAGGCTTATCTTAAACTCATGACCTCAGGTGATCCATCTGTCTCAGCCTCCCAAAGTGCTTGGATTACAGGTGTGAGCCACCATGCCCAGCCAAAAGACATTTTTAATGGCAAGATGACACACAAATTATGGGTCTGATGTAAGGAACACCATACAGCTGGACTGTTTTCTTTACTGTTCTTTTTTTTTGGGGGGGAGGGGGGACAAAGTTTTGCTCTTGTTGCCCAGGCTGGAGTGCAATGGCACGATATCAGCTCTTGGGTTCAAGCGATTCTCCTACCTCTGCCTCCCGAGTAGCTGGGATTATAGGTATATGCCACCCAGCCCAACTAATTTTGTATTTTTAATAGAGACAGGGTTTCTCCATGTTGGTCAGAATCTCAAACTCCTGACCTCAGGTGATCCACCCACCTCAGCCTCCCAAAGTGCAGGGATTACAGGCGTGAGCCACTGTGCCCAGCCAGCTAGACTGTTTTCTCTCCAGACTTTTTTTTTTTTTTTTTTTGAGATGGAGTTTCACTCGTGCTGCCCAGGCTGGAGTGCAATGGTGTGATCTCGGCTTACTGAAACCTCCACCTCCCAGATTCAAGTATATCTCCTGCCTCAGCCTCCTGAGTAGCTGGAATTGCAGGCATGCGCTACCACACCCAGCTAATTTTGTACTTTTAGTAGAAATGGGGTTTCTCCATGTCAGTCAGGCTGGTCTCAAGCTCCGAGCCTCAGGTGATCTGCCCACCTCCGCCTCCCAAAGTGCTGGGATTACAGGAGTGAGCCACCGTGCCCAGCCACTTTTCTTTTTTTTTTTTCTTTTAAGACAGTCTCGCTCTGTTGTCCAGGCTGGAATGAGTGGCATGATCTTGGCTCATTACACTGTCTGCCTCCCAAACTTGTGATCCTCCAGAGCAGCAGGGACTACAGAACTGAACCACCGTGGGGTACAGTGGCTCATGCCTGTAATCCCATCACTTTGGGTGGCCAAGGCAGGTGGATCACAAGGTCAACAGATCGAGACCATCCTGACCAACATGGTGAAACCCAATCTCTACTAAAAATACAAAAATTGGCTGGGCAGAGTTTGCAGTGAGCCGAGATCATATCACTGCACTCTAGCCTAGCAACAGAGTGAGACTCCATCTCAAAAAATAATAATAATAATAATACAAAAATTAGCTAGGCATGGTGGCACGTGCCTGTAGTCCCAGCTAGCTATACAGTGAGCCTGGTGACAGAGCGAGACTCCGTCTCAAAAAAAAAATAGTTTCCCTGTTTTGCCCAGGTTGGTCTTAAACTCCTGGGCTCAAGTAATCTTCCTACATTGGCCTTCCAATGTGCTGGGATTAGAATCAAGGGCCACCATGCTCAGCCTCTATCCAAATGTTTAATGGAAACCAAAAAAAAAAAAAAAATCCCTAATCATGTTTCATTATCAAGCCTACAATTTAGTGACAAAGTCATTTCAAGATATGCATGAAATCTGCTGCACAATATGGGTAGCGCAAACATTAGAACATGGCCTTACCATGGTTAGCTGGTTTTCAATGCGGTAATACTGACTTCCTTAATTTTGTATCACAATTTTAAGAGATCAATTTAAAAGTATGATCAAGAAAAGACGTCTGGCCAGGCACGGTGGCTCATGCCTGTATTCCCAGCACTTTAAGAGGGAAAGGCAGGTGCATCACTTGAGGCTAGGAGTTTCAAACCAGCCTACACAACATGGTGAAACCCCATCTCTACAAGAATCACAAAAAATAAGCAGTTCTCCTGCCTCAGCTTCCTGAGTAGCTGGGATTACAGGCACGCGCCACCATGCCCGGCTAATTTTTGTATTTTTAGTAGACACACCATGTTGATCAGGCTGGTCTCAAACTCCTGATCTTGTGATCTGCCCACCTTGGCCTCCCAAAGTGCTAGGTTTATAGGCATAAGCCACCTTGTATTTTAGTAGAGACAGGGTTTTATCATATTGGCCAAGCTGGTTTCGCACTCCTGACCTCAGGTGATCCACCCACCTCCACCTCCCAAGGTGCTGGGATTACAGGTGTGAGCCACTGCTCAGGCAGATGTTGCAGTGAGCCAAGATTGCACCACTCCACTCCAGCCTGGGTGACAGAAAAAAAAAAAGCTGGCGTGTGGGCATGCACCTGTAGTCCCAGCTACTCAGGAGATTGAGGTGGGAGGATGACCTGAGCCCGGGAGGTCGAGGCTTCAGTGAGTTATGATTGAGCCACTGCACTCCAGCGGGAATGACACAGCAAGAACCTGTCTCAAAAAAAAAAAAAAAAAAAAAAAAAAAGAAAAGAAAAGAAAAAGAAAACAGGTTCTAATCACCATTCATATTTTTCCTACTTAAATTCAAACTAAAATTTTATGAACAAGGAAGAAACAGGTCAATAACCAAAGTATGCATTTCCAAGAAAGACAGAAAAGACTGGCTTCTGAACTAAGCATGTGATTGAACCTACTAAGCTCCAGCGTGAGCAAGGACCAGTGCTACAGACCGCTGGAAATGAAAAACACAATATGCCTAAGATGACATCCGTGAGATGTGAGTAAGTTAATGTGGAAATAACCATCACACAACACAAACTGAGAAATGCTCTTAAAAGCAGACATACTACTATTGAAAAGTTCAAAGGAAGATAGGTTCAATATTAGTTGTGAGGAGATTACAGCAAAAGTGACAGGTGATGTTGGTACTGAAAGTTGATGAGGCCAGCACGGTGGCTCGCACCTGAAATCTCAGCAATTTGGGAGGCCATGGTGAGTGAATCGCTTGAGCTCAGTAGTTAGAGACTAGCCTGGACAACATGGTGAAATTCCATCTCTACCAAAAATATAAGAAACTAGCTGGGCATACTGGCTCACTTCGCAGCAATGCCCAGGTAATTTCTTGGTCCCAGCCACTCAGGAGGCTGAGCCCAGGAAGGATCGCTTGAGCCCAGGTGGCAAAGCAGGGGTTGCAGTGAACCTCTGCACGTTCTACATTCCACATCACGTCACTACACTCCAGCCTGGGTGATAGACGGAGACCCTGTCTCAAAAAAAAAAAAAATAAGAAAAAGAAAGCTGACAAGGCAAGGCACAATGGCTCGCACCTATAATCCCAGCACTTTGGGAGGCCAAGGCAGGGGGATCATTTGAGGTCAGGAATTCCAGACCAGCTTGGCCAACATGGTGAGACACCGTCTCTACTAAAAATACAAAAATATTAGCCAGGCATGGTGGTGGGTGCCTGTCATCCCAGCTACTCGGGAGGCTGAGGCAGGAGAATCGCTTGAACCCACGAAGTGTGGAGATTGCAGTAAGTGGAGGAGATAGCGGCACTGTACCCCAGCATGAGTGACAAAAAAAAAAAAAAGACTCCAAAAAAAAAAAAAGGTGAATAGAAGATCAGTCAACCAGAGTCAAGGCAGTGAAGATGAGATCTTCTAAATCAAGATTCAAAATCCTGATGGGGGGCAGTGGCTCCGCCTGTAATCCCAGCACTTTGGGAGGCCAAGGCTGGCGGATCACAAGGTCAGGAGTTCAAGACCAGCCTGGCCAAAATAGTGAAATACCATCTCTACTAAAAATACAAAAAAATTAGCCAGGCGTGGTGGCACATGACTGTAATCCCAGCTACTCGGGAGGTTGAGGCAGGGGAACTGCTTGAACCGAGGAGTAAGAGGTTTCAGTGAGTCAAGACTGCGCCACTGCACACCAACCTAGGCAATAGAGCGAGACAACATCTCAAAAAAAAAAAAAAGATTCAAAATCCTTCCTACAATGCCCTCGTCTTCTGGAAAACTACTTTAGGGACTGTTTTAGCCAATTTATAGTTCTGGATACATTTCTGCCAATTTCAATTTTTATTTTAAGACATTCATTCAAACATTTTTTTTTTTTTAATGAGATAGTGTTTCTTGTCCAGGTTGGAGTGCAATGTTGTGATCTTGGCTCAAGGCAACCTCCACCTCTCAGGTTCAAGTGAATCTCCTGCCTCAGCCTCTGGAGTAGCTGGGATTACAGGCGTGCACTTCACCACACCCAGCTAATTTTGTATTTTTAGTAAACATGAGATTTCACCATGTTGGTCAGGCTGGTCTCCAACTCCTGAACTCAGGTGATCCACCCACCTCAGCCTCCCAGTTTTCGGATTACAGGTGTAAGCCACCATGCCTGGCCTAAAACACTATTAAAAGTGCAGGGGAGGGCTGGGTGCTGTGGCTCACACGTGTAATCACAGCACTTTGGGAGGCTAAGGTGGGTGGATCACCTTAGGTCAGGAGTTCTAGACCAGCCTGGCCAACATGGTGAAACCCCATCTCTACTAACAATATAAAAATTAGTCGGGCATGGTGGTGGGTGCCTGTAAACCCAGCTACCCAGGAGGCTGAGGCAGGAGAATCGCTTGAATCCAGAGGTGGAGGTTGCAGTGAGCCAAGATCACACCACTGCACTCCAGCCGGGGTAACAGAGTAAGACTCCATCTCAACAAAAAAAAAAAAAAGTACTGGGGAAGCCAGACACTGTGGCTCACACCTGTAATCCTAGCTAGCACTTTGGGAGGCCAATGTGGGAGAATACTTGAGCTGGGGAGTTCAACTATAGCTGGGGCAACATAACAAGATCTCACCACTTTAAAAGAAAAAAAAAATAGCCAGGCTCTGCTCAGTGGCTCATGCCTGTAATCCTAGCACTTTGGAAGCCCCTTCTCTACTAAAAATATAAAATTATTGGGGGTGGTGGTGCATCCCTCTAATCCCAGCTACTTGGGAGGCTAAGAAGAATCACTTGAAGCCGGGAGGCAGAGGTTGCAGGAAGCTGAGATCACACCATTGCACTCCAGACCTCCAGACTGGGCAACAAGACTGAAACTCTGTCTCAAAAAAAAAAAAAAAAAAAGACAGTCTTACTCTGTAGCTAAGGCTTGAGTGCACTACTGGCACAATCACGGCCGATTGCAGCCTCGATCTCCCAAGCTCAAGGATCAAGTGATCCTCCCAGCCCAGCCTTCAGAATAGCTGGCACTATAGCTAATTTTCCTTTTTTTTTTTTTTTTTTGAGACAGGGTCTCACTCTGTTACCCAGGTTGGAGTGCGGTAACACAATCCTGGCTCACTAGAGCCTTGACCTACAGGATTCAGGTAATCTGCCTACCTCAGCCTCCCAAGTAGCTAAACTACTGGCTTCTGTCACCATGCCCAGCTAATTTTTCTATCTGTTGTAGAAACAGGCTTTTGCCACGTTGTCCAGGCTGGTCTCCAACTCATGGGCCCAAGTGACCCTCCCACTTCGGCCTCCCAAAATGCTGGGATTACAGGCTTGAACCACTGCCTGGCCCTAATTTTTTATTTACTTATTTTATTTTTTTGAAGTGAAGTTTCACTTTCATTGCCGAGACTGAAGCGCAGTGGCAAAATCTTGACTCACTGCAACCTCCACCTCCCGGGTTTGAGTGATTTTCCTGCCTCAGCTTCCCAAGTAGCTGAGATTACAGGTATGCCACCATGACCAGTTAATATTGTATTTTTAGTAGAGACGGCGTTTCACCATGTTGGCCAGGCTGGTCTTGGAACTCCTGACCTCAGGTGATCCGCCCGCCTTGGCCTCCTAAAGTGCTAGGATTACAGGCCCTCACACCCGGCCAATTTTTTTGTTTTTGTAGAGAGAGGGTCTCACTATGTTGCGCAGGCTGGTTTCTAACTTCTGGGCTCAAGCGATCCTCCAGCCTCAGCCTCCTAAAGCACTGGGATTACAGATGTGAGTCACTGCACCCGGCCCCACCTTTTGACCTCTCCTCCTAAAACACACTTCTTGTCCTTGAGAAACCTGCTGATAGGTATCTTTACTTTAATGCTCAAACATTTTTTGAGCGACTATTACATCAACGCTCATTTTTTGAGCAACTATTACGTGCCAGAAACTATACAAAAATTAATCAGGCAAGGTCCCTAATCTGCAAAGCTCAGAGTAAACTGGAGAAGATAAACAAACAATAATACAGCTCACTGTATCAACAGAACTATGCCCAAAATGCTAAGGAAGCATCTAAACTCGAGTGTGGAACTTTACAGAATCTTAGTAAAGTTCCACAGAAGTTTGTTTTTTTGCAGTTCTTAGTTTGGTCAATAAAAGAATGGGAAAAAAAAAAAAAAAAACAATGAAACTCAGCGCAGTTTAAAAACACACAATAGCACCGGATCTGAACACTTGACATTGTAGGGAACTGCTGGCTGCTAATAAATATAAGGACCTAATCATTTCATTTATGCCAAAATATCCTCCAGTACGTTTACACACAGCCCTATATTAATTCAGACGTCTCTTCTGGAACGAGATGTAAGCCGGTCAATTTGTATTCACTGGCCGGGTCTCCCACCACTTTAAGCCAAAAGTGCCCTGAGGCCCAATCGACTGTCCCTAGTCGATCAGGAAATCTTCACAGAAGTTGAGAGTCCCCATCACCCCAAAGTCGGAGCTCTATATTCACCACGGAAGGTATAGTGAGAATCTAAAACTCATAAGCATTTCCTCTCCTGGACTCTGTGCCCGTAAAGTGGCCCCTATCGGACATCGGCAGGAACCTCCTCTCACAAACTGGCTCCCCAAATTGTGTCCCGCCCCCTCCTTTCCCCCTCAGTCACTTACCCTCGGTTTCCCCCTGAGCTTTCATCCTGAAGGCGGGGAGAGCCTGGATCTGCCACAAAAGGATAAGCCCTTCCCCACCAGTAACGAGGAAAACAAGTTGGCCCGGGTTCCCAAGACGCAGGACACCAGCAGTCCCTACTCTTCCCGGGAAAGATCAGTCTGAAGTCCCCGGCGGCAAGAAGAGAAGGGTGCTCGAGGCCGCCGCCATCTTCCCCAACGGAACTTCCCAAAATTCGCGAGATAAACCGTGGTCCTGCCAGAGAGAGGAAGAGGACAGGACATCAAAATCTCGCGAATATTGGTCAATGCGTGGGCCTCGCGAGATTTCTTTCAAGCTAGTCTTCTCTTTGCTCTGGGCTGCCTCAGGCCTGACGCTGCTGGTTGTTGAAACTGCGGACGGGTAGCTTACAACTTCCCTGCGGAAACTAGCTTTTTTTTTTATTTTAATTTTAGCAATTAAACAACTCGCAAATTAAAATCTCCAGATCTCTCTACTGAAAGACTATCTTTTCAAAGGCTGTCGGTATCAGGACTGTATGTCTTCCGTGAGATACGCGATGCAATAATTATGTCCTAAGAAAGATAGTGGTGCATTGTAACATGGCATTCAAAGCCTAGCACAATTAGTTCCCCTTTTCTTTCTTTCTTTCTTTTCTTTCTTTCTCTTTCTTTCTTTTTTCTTTTTTTCTTTTACTTTCTTTCCTTTCTTACTTTCTTTTTCTTTTTTTTGAGACGGAATCTCGCTCTGTTGCTAGGATGGAGTCCAGTGGCGCGATCTCGGCTCCCTGCAATCTCCCTCTGCCTCCTGTGTTCAAGCAATTATCCTCCCTCAGTCTCCGGAGTAGCTAGGATTATAGGCGTGCGACACCACACCAAGCTAATTTTTGTATTTTTAGTGGAGACGGAGTTTTACTATACTGGCCTCTATCTCCTGACCTCGTGATCCGCCCGCCTCGGCCTCCCAAAGTGCCGGCCTCTTTTCTCATTTTTTAGTTTCAGAAGTCTTTCTTTCTTTCTTTTTTGGGGTGGAGTGTCGCTCTGTCACCCAGGCTGGAGTACAGTGGCACAACCTCGGCTCACTGCAACCTCCGCCTTCTGGGTTCAAGCGATTGTCCTGCCTCAACCTCTGCCTCCTGGGTTCAAGCGATTGTCCTGCCTCAACCTCCACCTCCTGGGTTCAAGCGATTGTCCTGCCTCAACCACCAGAGTAGCTGGGATTACGGGCACCCACCACTATTCCCGGCTAATTTTTGTATTTTTAGTAGAGACGGGATTTTGTCATGTTAGCCAAGCTGGTTTCGAACTCCTGACCTCAGGTGATCCGCCCACCTCAACCTCCCAAAGTGCTGGGATTACAGGCGTGAGCCACCGCACCCGGCCTCAAAACTATTTTGAGCATTTACAATATTTTTGAAGCTCTGAGAAGTTTTGGATTAAGATAGGCTTATTTGCAGCAGTCATCTAATGATATTAGTTATATTTCTTATTTATAATTGATCGTGTTCCTTTTTTGCAGTCCTAGTGAACACAAGCCGCTTAGCTCGTTCTATACACTACAAATCACAAAGAATGAAACAAAAAGAAATGAAATACCATTGATTTGATAAGAAAAGTAAAAAATTTAAAAAAAAAACGAAGAATATGGAGTCATATCTTTGCTGTCAGTAAATTCTCAAAAGAAATTCTACAATAGGCTGGGCGTGGTGGCTCATGCCTGTAATCACAGCACTTTGGGAGGCCAAGGCAGGCGGATCATTTGAGTCAAGAGTTCAAGTCCAACCTGGCCAATACTTCGAAACCCTGTCTCTACTAAAAATACAAAAAATTAGCCAGCTGTCGTGGTGGGTGCCTGTAATCCCGGCTATTTGGGAGGCTGAGGCATGAGAATTGCTTGAACACACGAAGAGAAAGTTTCAGTGAGCCGAAATCAGGCCACCACACTCCAGCCTGGGTGACAGAGTGAGACTCTGTCTCAAAAAAAAAAAAAAAGAAAAAAAAGAAATTATAGAGTAATACCAAGAAGTTTATGGCCACTGGAACTGAAGAACCAGGCTAAAATGCAACAGTTCTAGCATTAGGGGAAAGTTCTTAATATAATTAGAACCATTATTTATTTATGTAATTTTATTCTATTGTATTCCATTTATTTATTTATTTTATTTTTATTCTATTTATTTATTTGTTTGTTTGTTTCGAGACTGGGTTATAAGACAGGCTAATTTTTTGTATTTTTGCTAAAGACAAGATTTCACCATGTTGCCAAAGCTGGTCTTGAATTCCTGGGCCCAAGTGATCCACCTGCCTCAGCCTCCCAAAGTGCTAGGATTACAGGCATCCACCACAGCACCTGACAAAGGATTTTTTTTTTTAATTCTTTTTCAGATGGGGCATGGTGGCTCAGCCCCATAATCCCAGCAATTTGATAGGCTGATTCCGGCAGATTGCCTGAGGTCAGGAGTTTGAGACCAGCCTGGCTAACAGGGTGTCTCTACTAAAAATACAGCAATTAGCCAGGTGTGGTGGTGCATGAGATAGAGGTTGCAGTGAGCCAAGATTGTGCCACTGCACTCCAGCCTGGGCGACCAAGCAAGACTCCATCTCCAAAAAAAAATTTAAAAATTATTTTTCCATATACATCCTTGAAAATAACTAATTACTGGGCCGGGCGCGGTGGCTCAAGCCTGTAATCCCAGCACTTTAGGAGGCCA